AGCCACGAGGGCAGGTGAGCGATGAGGGTGGGGTGGGAGATGAGGGTAGGGTGAGGGATGAGGGTAGGGTGAGGGATAAGGGGAAGGTGAAGGATGAGGGTGGGGTGAGGGAGGAGGGTAGGGTGAGGGATGAGGATAGGGTGAGGGATAGGGATAGAGTGAGGGATGAGGGTGGGGTGAGAGAGGAGGGCACGTACCAGATGTGGTTAGGGTGGGAAATGCGGGTAGGATGAGATGAGAAACGCGGGCAGGTGAGTATGCGAATAGGTTGGACGATAAGGGCGGGTGAGACATGCAGTTGAAAGGATGGAGAGTAAACAAGCAGCTGGTGCTGCAGCAGTTTCAGCAACAAGAGCAAAAAAAAGGCGGGGAGCAAGCGGGGGAGTGTCGGGTGCAAGGGGGAGGGCAGACCAAAAGGGGGGGAGGGCGCGGGGGGGTCCAAGTGGGAGGGGGAGGCGGACCTGCAGGGCGAGGAGGAAGGGGATGAACAGCTTGCCGGCGCGGTTGGGGTTGAAGCCCCGCGCCATGCGCTCATCCACCCTCACCACCGGCTGCCTCCTCAGCGCCACCGCCACTAGCGCTTCCACCAGGCATGGAAACCATGCCCGCCCGTCTGGGAGAATCTGCACAGCGGGAGAGGGGGGTGGGGTGGGTTGGGGTTGAAGCCCCTGGCCATGCACTCGTCCACCGGCTGCTGCTTCAGCGCCACGCCCACAACCGCCTCCACCAGACACGGGAACCATGCGCAGCCATCTGGTAGGATCTGCAGCGGTATGTGGGTGTGGGGTGATTTGGATTTGGTGAGAAGTGGTGGCACCAGGAGGGCTGGCGCCTCAGCGCCACGCCCACCACCGCCTCCACCAGGCATGGGAACCATGCGCAGCCATCAGTCAGGTAGGATCTGCACGGGTGTGTGGGGGGGGCGATGTGCGATACATGGTGGCAAGATGATGGGTGCGAGACAGATTGCGAGGAAGAGGCCGCGAGAGGGGAGTTGAGGCGTGGTTCCACACGGTCCTTGAGTGAAGAGTGGGCACTAGGGCCTGTGAGACGTGCCATGGGATGGGATGGGACGCAGAGGTGGTCAGCAAGCAGCAGCGGGGGTAAGATGGAACACGACACCCACGTGCGGGAGGGCACCCAGTGAAGGGGCGAGCAGCAGGGGCGGACAGGCGACACACGGGTTGAGGTGCCGTTGAGAACAGCGCTCTGCGACGACACCACAGGGGGGCGAGGCGAGAGGTGCCCACGGTGAGGCGAGGCGAGAGCTCACCTTCTCACCGTCGTCGTTGGTTCGACAGCGCCCCTCCATGCTCTCCACTAGCGCCACTGGCACCTGCCAAGCCATGCCATGCCATGCCACGCCAGGCCAGGCCAAGTCATACCCCATACCATGCCATGCCAAGCCAAGCCATGCCCGATGCCATGCCATCCAGTACCATGCCATGTGACGCATGTTGCATTATGACATGCAACATGAAAATGACAAAAGGAAATGGGTATCAGGGGCCATGCTGCTGCAAAGCAAGCATTCCTGCCTGCCTCGGCCACTGTGCCCCATGTGGCGGCCCTTGCACCCGCCTGCTCATCCAGCCGTAGCCCCTTGCCTCACGCCTGCTCATCCAGCCGTAGCCCCTTTTCCTTGCCTCACGCGCTGCCTACTGCCACTCCAACCCACGCACCACCACCCACTAGTTACCACCATCCCTCGCCCTTAGCCCCTCACCTCGTCACCCTCGCCCCTCGCCCCCTCGCCCTCACCTCATCGTTCCTCCCCAGGCGGCCCTGCTTGCGGATCATCCCCAGCAGCGCGTCGCTGCGCGCCGCCACGAAGTCGCCGAAGGGGCGCCCGTCCGACGGCGACAGCTGCGCGCGCGTCAACACCACCACCGCGCGCTTCCAGATCTGATCGGCGTGCAGAGGGGGCACGCAGAGGGGCACGCAGGAGGCACGCAGGGGTAACGCAGGGGTCACGCCGGGGGGGCACGGAGGGGGCACGCAGGGGGGGCACACAGTGGGGGCACGCAATCGGCGAGGGGCGCGAGATGGGCCGGGTATGGCTGGGAGGGGGGGGGGAAGGGAGGGAGGGAGGAGGGGGGCAACGCGCAACACGACGAGAAGGAAGAGGTGCAGAGAGGGGGTGCCTCGAGGGGGACGGGGGGGCGAGGAGGGGTACCTGGGGGCAGGGAGCAGGGAGGACAGCGCGCACCTGCGGGCCGAAGGCGTTGGAGATGCCCTGCGCGACGAGCGCGTCGATGGTGTCCACTCGGTACGCGTCCAGCCGCTCCACATAGAGCAGCACGTCCACCGTGCGCCCCACTAGCGAACTAGGGTGGGGAAGAGGGGGGCGGGGTGGTGGGGGGGGGGACACTGAAAGCACGAAGAGCGTCCAGCCGCTCCACATACAGCAGCACGTCCACGCTCCTCCCCACCAGCGCGCTACACGCATACAGGGCGGAGGGGCGGGAGGCGGGCGGGCAGCGGGAGTAGAGCACGGAGGGCGGAGACGCCGGGTTGGGAGGCGAGAGGCATTGATGATGATGATGGGGCATGATGGCGAGGGAAAGGAGCACAGTATGGTGCGATGGCAGGCGGATGATGATGATGATGATGATGATGATGATGATGATGATGGAATCGCGGAGTGCTCGCTCGCACCATGATGTGCATGCAGCCGACCAGCACTCCCCTCAAGGCGGACTCTCCTCTCATCACACCGCATGGCGCATGCGGCGCGGCGCGCCACTGCCTGCGGCGCGACTCACTGCAGGATGGCGTCGAGCGCGGCGCGGTTGACGGTGCCGGCGTCGACGAGGCCGGGCGTGTCGATGACGTGCAACGTGGCGCCGCCGTATTGGCGCACGGCCTCGCGCAGGTGCGCGGACGCCTGGAAGCCCGACGTGGGGAAGAGGCGCTCCCCCAGCAGCGCGTTGAGCGTGGCGCTCTTGCCCACGCTGCCCTTGCCCACCGCCACTATCGTCACCGTCTCCTTGCCCTGCTCGCACACACGCACACATGCACGCACGAACAGAGGGCAAGGAGGGGAGGGACGCGGGAGGAGACAAAAGGGTGGGCATCGCGCTCTTGCCCACCGCCACTATCGTCACCGTCTCGCCCTGCGAGCATGCAGGCGCGCACGCACAGGCACAGGGGCGCACACAGGGCAGGGCGCGGAGGGACGCGGGAGGAAACAGCAAGTGAGCGTCGCGCTCTTGCCCACGCTGCCCTTGCCCACCGCCACCAACGTCACCTTCACCGTCTCCTTGCCCTGCGAGCCCGCTCGCCCGCAGCACACGCACAAAGCAGCACACACACGCACGCGCGAACAGCGGGGAAGGCGCGGATGGACGCGGGAGGAGACAGAGAGTGAGCGACGCGTTTCGCAGAAACCAATCCGTGCAGTCGATTTGACTTCCCTTGCGCCATGATTCCTCTCAGCAAAGCATTGACTCTTAAGACTTTTCAATGTTCCCACCACCACCGGCTCTCCCCCCCCGTCTGTCTAAGCAATGGGTGGAGCTCTACCGTTGCACGTCAGCAAGCTCGCCACACACGCCCGCCCCGTGCTCGAACGCGCGCGTTGACCCGGCCAGTGCGCGAACGCGCCAACACCGAGCACGTCAGCCGCTCTAATCGACGATCGTGTCGGCGGACGACCGCGATGCACTCGGACCGCCCGACAATCACGACGGGGGAGCTGTCGCGACGCGAAGTGTGTTTAGGGCACGCTCGCGTGCGATGGATGGCAGAGCTCGCGATGGCAGAGCTCGCGATGGCAGAGCTCGCGATGGCGCATCCTGGAGGGCAAGCAGCGGTCTGCTGCCACTGCATTTGCTAGCAACGCCCCACACACAACTGGCTCCCCACACACTGCATTAGAAACCGTCGTCGCGTGAAAAGACCAAGTCAGCAAACCGTCGTCGTGCCTGTTCAATTAGCCGGTCGATCGCCGAGGTGATGACGGACCGCGACACCTCCGGTTGTTGCTCCACCGCCGCCCACTCCTGCGGCTGTGCCGGCTCCGCTGCCATCGCACGTCGCTAACGACACACGGTCGCTTGTGTGACGACGATCCTCGCCGGTGGAGACGGTGAGCACAACGAGCAGATCGAAATGGAAAGGGCGCTGCGACTGAGAGTACGAGCTGAAGAGCGGTGGCGAGTTTATCGCGAAGGGAGAGAAAGTAAACCCTTGACCGCTGACCAGCAGCATGTACTCATGAAACCTGTTTGAGGTGGATGTGGTGGATTGACTCGCTGAAGTGTACTCCAAGTTTGTGTACGGTGACATGAACGACTGTAACGAAATTAGAATTCTCTTACGTCGCAAATGCAGCAACTCGTAGAACCCTCTATCCACACGTGCCCTTCAAAAATTCAATTGTTCGAAGATTCTAGAAATCTACTCTATCCGAACCGCGACACCAAACCCTCAACGCGGTCGTCTCGTTCGACGTAACTCTTGACAGAATTCACTCTATGCGAGCTTTTCTCTTCGCGTTCCGAGGTATCGCGTCTCTGTCGTTCGCCACGCCAGTGTATTTGCGATTAAAGCTTGCGAACAAGCGGAACACATTGAATAAGACGTGAGCCCGTCACGCATCGCGTTCTGGTCGGCCTCGCCACAACTCTTGGCCCCTAGAGAAGCTAGGTACGCGCGCCGTCGCCGCGCGGCCGTGCATGGCGGAGCACCACATGATGCTGGACCTGCAAGCGCGCGGCATGCACGCTGCGTCGCTACCGTTCCAACCGCACCACCCCGCCGCCCTCGCCCACGTGCATCCGCACCACCTCCAACCGCCGCTGCCGCCGCCGCCGCCGGGCCTTCAGCATCAGCTGTCGCAGCAGCACGCGCCGCCACATGCGCTCCCGTCACAGCACACGTCGCAGCACCCGTCGCAACACCCGTCGCAGCACCCGTCGCAGCAGCACCAACACCGCGTACTGCAGCACCAGCCCGCGCAGCAGCAGCAGCAACAACAGCAGCAGCAAGGCCTCGGCATGGGTATCGCGCAGCCGGGGACTTCCCAGCATCAGCCGCCACGTCATCATCAGCAACACCTCGCGCTCGTGCAGCACCTTGGCGGAGCTGACGTGGAGGTGGGCATGGATGACGTGGACGTGGCGGAGGGCGACGAGGGCGTGATGGACGACGACGGCGACGACGACGGCGGCGAGCACGGCGGCGCGGGGTCGGGCGAGCACGACCACGACGGCGTCATGGCCGCCGGCGATGGCGGAATGGGCGGCGCGATTCGCGGCGGCGGGCCGAACATGCTGTCGCTGTCGTACCACGGCGAGGTGTACGTCTTCGACTGCGTGCCGCCCGAAAAGGTGCGCCGCGCGGGGAGGGGGGAGCGAGGGCGGAAAGGGGAGGGGGGATTGGGAGCTGTACGTCTTCGACTGCGTGCTGCCCGAAAAGGTGCGCCGCGCGCATGGGAGGGGGAAATGGGGGGACTGGCTGTGTGGGCAGTTTGGGGCAACGGGCTGCGCGGATGGGGCAGGGGGTTGCCATGGTAGAGCGGAGGCGGACGAGAGGAGTGCAGTGCAGAGCGCAGGGGTGGTGAAGCGGTGCACGGTGAGGTGGTGCACGGTGAGGTGGTGCACGGTGAGGTGATGCACGGTGAGGTGGTGCACGGTAAGGTGGTGCACGGTAAGGTGGTGCACGGTGAGGTGGTGCACGGTGAGGGCTGTCGCGTGGGGCTGGAAAGGTGGGTTGGGGAGATGCGATGCCTTTATGAACTAGATGCGAAGGCGTTTCAAGGGAGGTATTGGAGCTGGATACATGATTCCTCTATGTACCACATCGCAAATAGGATAGATGTTTCATGGCCACATATTGGAGAGATTTTTTTTGTGAAGGGGCAAAGTTGTGCAAGGCTTGGCACATGGAACACGAGGGAAGGCAGTGCTCATGTGCCCTGCTGACCCATGCTGCCCTGTGTGCTGCCCTGTGTGCTGCCCTGTGTGCTGCCCTGTGTGCTGCCCTGTGTGCTGCCCTGTGTGCTGCCCTGTGTGCTGCCCTGTGTGCTGCCCTGTGTGCTGCCCTGTGTGCTGCCCTGTGTGCTGCCCTGTGTGCTGCTCACTGTGCTGGTTCTGCTGTGATGCAGGTGCAGGCGGTGCTGCTGCTGCTGGGAGGCAGGGAGGTGCCGCCATCCATGGCGGGCAGTGTTCCCCAGCACCACTTCAAGGTGCCCCCCGCCCACTCCCCCCCTCTCCCTCCCCCTCCCCCTCCCCCTCCCGCTCTTCCGCCGTCCTCCTACCCGTCCTCTTTTTCACCCCTCCCACCTCCTGCCCTCGTCCTCTCCTTCCCACCTCGTTCATGCCGCTCATTCTCACTTCCTACATTCCTTCTCGTTGTCCCACAGGCGTCCCTCCTTCCCTTCCCTTCCCCTCATCTTCCTGCGTCCATGCATGTGCGGGTGATGTCATGCACCCCCACCTTCACCCACCTTCACCTGCCTTCACCGCTGCTCGCTGCGTCGGTCTCCTTGAGGGTGTTGATGCCTCTGAACGTGCGCCCGCCCTTCAGCCTGCCTTTCCTTTCCGATGCCCCTCCTGTCCTAGATTCCAATCGTAATCCATCCGTCCATCCATCCGTCCATCCGTCCATCCATCCGTCCGTCCATCCGTCCGTCCGTCCATCCATCCATCCATCCATCCATCCATCCATCCATCCATCCATCCATCCATCCATCCATCCATCCATCCATCCATCCATCCATCCATCCATCCATCCATCCATCCATCCATCCATCCATCCATCCATCCATCCATCCATCCATCCATCCATCCATCCATCCATCCATCCATCCATCCATCCATCCATCCATCCATCCACCCATGATGTTTTCTCTCCCTTATCTGGCACTATGCTCTTTCTGCTCCCTCCCCCTTGGTCTCCTCGTCCCTCCCCCTTGGTCTCCTCGTCCCTCCCCCTTGGTCTCCTCGTCCCTCCCACCCCTCTCCTCACACCCTCGCCCCTGCCCTCCCATCTCCCTCGCTCCATATGTTCTCCCGTCCTCCCTGTTACGCACACAACCGCCATGGCTAGCAGCATGTGGGGGGGGGAGTGGGGGGCGACCTGCCGGTGCGGCTGAACCAGCCGCAGCGCCTGGCGTCTCTCAACCGCTTCCGGGAGAAGCGCAAGGAGCGCAACTTCGACAAGAAGATCCGCTACAGCGTGCGCAAGGAGGTGGCGCAGAGGTGAGATCCGCTACAGCGTGCGCAAGGAGGTGGCGCAGAGGTGAGGGTTTGTAGCTTACCAAGAATTGAGCCTTAGATGCTCGTGTATCTTGAGCCTCTTGAAAATACCCCTGGATACAATGTCACGCGAATTTGTTCACGGGAAGGAAAAGTCAGCAACAGTTTCAAGCTCTTTTTTTTTTGGCTCGTAAGTAGTGAGGGGCACTGTAGCATAGGTACCATGGTTTCTTTCCGGGACCGAGGGACTCTCGCAAGCTAAATTGTGAGCAAACCCCTCCCTCCCCCAAATGTCTCAAGGTCTTATATGGTGTCACAAGCACTAGTTGCACACCTTTTGTTTCCACATGGAAAGAAGACTCTAGAGACCACAAGTAGGTTCTTTCACCCACGAGTTTCAAATGTAAGATGCTCTCGGGCCCAACGGGGTGGTGCAGATGGTGTGGGGCGTGGTTGTGTGGGGCGTGGTTGTGTGGGGCATGCTTGTGTGTGTGGGGCATGCTTGTGTGTGTGGGGCATGCTCGTGTGTGTGGGGCATGCTTGTGTGGTGCACCTCTCTAGATGCTGCTTCACCATCACTTCCGTGTCCTTTCTGTGTCCCTGCCCCTTGCCTGCGTGCTCTCCGCATTCCCCACGGCCCGCCATGCACGGAGGGGCTTCTTGGACACGCCTCATCGTGCACCATCACTTCCATTTCCTTTCCGTTCCCCCCCACCCCACACCCCCCCCCCCCCCCTCTCCTTGCCTGCGGCCTCTCCGCATTCCCCATGGCCCGCCATGCACGGAGGGGAGCAGGATGTGTCGCAAGAAGGGGCAGTTCGCGTCCAACCGTGGGGGCGGTGCCTTCTTTGAGGATGCGCCGCCCGACATGGGGGAGAGCGCCGCCCACGACCGCCCCGATGCCGCCCCTGAAGCCATGTGAGCCACTCTCTCCCTCCCACCCCTCCCACCCCTCCCATAGCTCCCATAGCTCCCACAGCTCCCATCGCTCCCATCGCTCCCATCGCTCCCATCGCTCCCATCGCTCCCATCGCTCCCATCAGTCCCATCCCGCACGTCGCTCCCACCTCTAGCATCGCTCCCACCTCGAGCATCGCTCCCACCTCTAGCATCGCTCCCACCTCTAGCATCGCTCCCACCTCTAGCATCGCTCCCACCTCTAGCATCGCTCCCACCTCTAGCATCGCTCCCACCTCTAGCATCGCTCCCACCTCTAGCATCGCTCCCACCTCTAGCATCGCTCCCACCTCTAGCATCGCTCCCACCTCTAGCATCACTCCCACCTCTAGCATCGCTCCCACCTCTAGCATCGCTCCCACCTCTAGCATCGCTCCCACCTCGAGCATCGCTCCCACCTCTAGCATCGCTCCCACCTCTAGCATCGCTCCCACCTCGAGCATCGCTCCCACCTCTAGCATCGCTCCCACCTCTAGCATCGCTCCCACCTCTAGCATCGCTCCCATCCGTCCATCCGCACGTGGTGCTCATCGTTCCGACCAGTTGGTGGCTGTGTAAAGAGCCTTCCATGGATCATTCCGTCTCATTCCCTCCCACAATGCATGCCGCCCCACAATGCATGCTGCCCCACAATGCATGCCCCCCCCACAATGCATGCCGCCCCACAATGCATGCCCCCCCCACAATGCATGCCCCCCCCACAATGCATGCCCCTCCCACCATGCATGCCCCCCCCACAATGCATGCCCCTCCCACCATGCACGACCCTTCCCCCCGCCACCATGCATGCCGCTCCCACCATGCATGCCGCTCCCACCATGCATGCCGCTCCCACCATGCATGCCGCTCCCACCATGCATGCCGCTCCCACCATGCATGCCACTCCCACCATGCATGCCACTCCCACCATGCATGCCCCTCCCTCCCACCATGCATGCCACTCCCACCATGCATGCCTCTCCCATCATGCATGCCACTCCCACCATGCATGCCACTCCCACCATGCATGCCCCTCCCTCCCACCATGCATGTCCTTCCCTCACACCACCATGCATGCCCCCCCCCCCCACCACCACGCTGCAGCTGCCAGCACTGCGGCACAGGGGAGAAGGCCACCCCCATGATGCGCCCACCACCATGCGTGCCCCCCTCTTCCCCCCCCTACCGTGCAGCTGCCAGCACTGCGGCACGGGGGAGAAGGCCACCCCCATGATGCGCCGCGGGCCGCAGGGGCCGCGCACCCTCTGCAACGCATGCGGGCTCATGTGGGCCAACAAGGTGCGTGCGGCTCATGTGGGCCAACAAGGTGCGTGCGGCTCATGTGGGCCAACAAGGTGCGTGCGGCTCATGTGGGCCAACAAGGTGCGTGCGGCTCATGTGGGCCAACAAGGTGCGTGCGGCTCATGTGGGCCCCCAAGGTGCGTGCGGCTCATGTGGGCCCACAAGGTGCGTGCGGCTCATGTGGGCCCACAAGGTGCGTGCGGCTCATGTGGGCCAACAAGGTGCGTGCGGCTCATGTGGGCCCACAAGGTGCGTGCGGCTCATGTGGGCCCACAAGGTGCGTGCGGCTCATGTGGGCCCACAAGGTGCGTGCGGCTCATGTGGGCCCACAAGGTGCGTGCGGCTCATGTGGGCCCACAAGGTGCGTGCGGCTCATGTGGGCCCACAAGGTGCGTGCGGCTCATGTGGGCCCACAAGGTGCGTGCGGCTCATGTGGGCCCACAAGGTGCGTGCGGCTCATGTGGGCCCACAAGGTGCGTGCGGCTCATGTGGGCCCACAAGGTGCGTGCGGCTCATGTGGGCCCACAAGGTGCGTGCGGCTCATGTGGGCCAACAAGGTGCGTGCGGCTCATGTGGGCCCACAAGGTGCGTGCGGCTCATGTGGGCCAACAAGGTGCGTGCGGCTCATGTGGGCCCACAAGGTGCGTGCGGCTCATGTGGGCCCACAAGGTGCGTGCGGCTCATGTGGGCCCACAAGGTGCGTGCGGCTCATGTGGGCCCACAAGGTGCGTGCGGCTCATGTGGGCCCACAAGGTGCGTGCGGCTCATGTGGGCCCACAAGGTGCGTGCGGCTCATGTGGGCCCACAAGGTGCGTGCGGCTCATGTGGGCCCACAAGGTGCGTGCGGCTCATGTGGGCCCACAAGGTGCGTGCGGCTCATGTGGGCCCACAAGGTGCGTGCGGCTCATGTGGGCCCACAAGGTGCGTGCGGCTCATGTGGGCCCACAAGGTGCGTGCGGCTCATGTGGGCCAACAAGGTGCGTGCGGCTCATGTGGGCCCACAAGGTGCGTGCGGCTCATGTGGGCCCACAAGGTGCGTGCGGGCAGTGAAGATGAGGGGGCGAGCACATGAGGGGGCGAGCACATGAGGGGGCGAGCACATGAGGGGGCGAGCACATGAGGGGGCGAGCACATGAGGGGGCGAGCACATGAGGGGGCGAGCACATGAGGGGGCGAGCACATGAGGGGGCGAGCACATGAGGGGGCGAGCACATGAGGGGGCGAGCACATGAGGGGGCGAGCACATGAGGGGGCGAGCACATGAGGGGGCGAGCACATGAGGGGGCGAGCACATGAGGGGGCGAGCACATGAGGGGGCGAGCACATGAGGGGGCGAGCACATGAGGGGGCGAGCACATGAGCGGGCGAGCACATGAGGGGGCGAGCACATGAGGGGGCGAGCACATGAGGGGCGAGCACATGAGGGGGCGAGCACATGAGGGGGCGAGCACATGAGGGGGCGAGCACATGAGGGGGCGAGCACATGAGGGGGCGAGCACATGAGGGGGCGAGCACATGAGGGGGCGAGCACATGAGGGGGCGAGCACATGAGGCGGGCGAGCACATGAGGGGGCGAGCACATGAGGGGGCGAGCACATGAGGGGGCGAGCACATGAGCACATGAGGGGGCGAGCACATGAGGGGGCGAGCACATGAGGGGGCGAGCACATGAGGGGGCGAGCACATGAGGGGGCGAGCACATGAGGGGGCGAGCACATGAGGGGGCGAGCACATGAGGGGGCGAGCACATGAGGGGGCGAGCACATGAGGGGGCGAGCACATGAGGGGGCGAGCACATGAGGGGGCGAGCACATGAGGGGGCGAGCACATGAGGGGGCGAGCACATGAGGGGCGAGCACATGAGGGGGCGAGCACATGAGGGGGCGAGCACATGAGGGGGCGAGCACATGAGGGGGCGAGCACATGAGGGGGCGAGCACATGAGGGGGCGAGCACATGAGGGGGCGAGCACATGAGGGGGCGAGCACATGAGCGGGCGAGCACATGAGGGGGCGAGCACATGAGGGGGCGAGCACATGAGGGGGCGAGCACATGAGGGGGCGAGCACATGAGGGGGCGAGCACATGAGGGGGCGAGCACATGAGGGGGCGAGCACATGAGGGGGCGAGCACATGAGGGGGCGAGCACATGAGGGGGGCGAGCACATGAGGGGGCGAGCACATGAGGGGGCGAGCACATGAGGGGGCGAGCACATGAGGGGGCGAGCACATGAGGGGGCGAGCACATGAGGGGGCGAGCACATGAGGGGGCGAGCACATGAGGGGGCGAGCACATGAGGGGGCGAGCACATGAGGGGGCGAGCACATGAGGGGGCGAGCACATGAGGGGGCGAGCACATGAGCGGGTGAGCACAGGAGGATGCGAGCACATGAGGGGGCGAGCACATGAGCGGGCGAGCAGCATGAGGGGGCGAGCACATGAGCGGGGCGAGCACATGAGGGGGGCGAGCACATGAGGGGGCGAGCACATGAGGGGGCGAGCACATGAGGGGGCGAGCACATGAGGGGGCGAGCACATGAGGGGGCGAGCACATGAGGGGGGCGAGCACATGAGGGGGCGAGCACATGAGGGGGCGAGCACATGAGGGGGCGAGCACATGAGGGGCGAGCACATGAGGGGCGAGCACATGAGGGGGCGAGCACATGAGGGGCGAGCACATGAGGGGGCGAGCACATGAGGGGCGAGCATGAGGGGCGAGCACATGAGGGGGCGAGCACATGAGGGGGCGAGCACATGAGGGGGCGAGCACATGAGCGGGCGAGCACATGAGGGGGGCGAGCACATGAGGGGGCGAGCACATGAGGGGGCGAGCACATGAGGGGGCGAGCACATGAGGGGGCGAGCACATGAGGGGGCGAGCACATGAGGGGGCGAGCACATGAGGGGGCGAGCACATGAGGGGGCGAGCACATGAGGGGGCGAGCACATGAGGGGGCGAGCACATGAGGGGGCGAGCACATGAGGGGGCGAGCACATGAGGCGGGCGAGCACATGAGGGGGCGAGCACATGAGGGGGCGAGCACATGAGGGGGCGAGCACATGAGGGGGCGAGCACATGAGGGGGCGAGCACATGAGGGGGCGAGCACATGAGGGGGCGAGCACATGAGGGGGCGAGCACATGAGGGGGCGAGCACATGAGGGGGCGAGCACATGAGGGGGCGAGCACATGAGGGGGCGAGCACATGAGGGGGCGAGCACATGAGGGGGCGAGCACATGAGGGGGCGAGCACATGAGGGGGCGAGCACATGAGGGGGCGAGCACATGAGGGGGCGAGCACATGAGGGGGCGAGCACATGAGGGGGCGAGCACATGAGGGGGCGAGCACATGAGGGGGCGAGCACATGAGGGGGCGAGCACATGAGGGGGCGAGCACATGAGGGGGCGAGCACATGAGGGGGCGAGCACATGAGCGGGCGAGCACATGAGGGGGCGAGCACATGAGGGGGCGAGCACATGAGCGGGCGAGCACATGAGGGGGCGAGCACATGAGGGGGCGAGCACATGAGGGGGCGAGCACATGAGGGGGCGAGCACATGAGGGGGCGAGCACATGAGGGGGCGAGCACATGAGGGGGCGAGCACATGAGGGGGCGAGCACATGAGGGGGCGAGCACATGAGGGGGCGAGCACATGAGGGGGCGAGCACATGAGGGGGCGAGCACATGAGGGGGCGCACATGAGGGGGCGAGCACATGAGGGGGCGAGCACATGAGGGGGCGAGCACATGAGGGGGCGAGCACATGAGGGGGCGAGCACATGAGGGGCGAGCACATGAGGGGGCGAGCACATGAGGGGGCGAGCACATGAGGGGGCGAGCACATGAGGGGGGCGAGCACATGAGGGGGCGAGCACATGAGGGGGCGAGCACATGAGGGGGCGAGCACATGAGGGGGCGAGCACATGAGGGGGCGAGCACATGAGGGGGCGAGCACATGAGGGGGGCGAGCACATGAGGGGGCGAGCACATGAGGGGGCGAGCACATGAGGGGGCGAGCACATGAGGGGGCGAGCACATGAGGGGGCGAGCACATGAGGGGGCGAGCACATGAGGGGGCGAGCACATGAGGGGGCGAGCACATGAGGGGGCGAGCACATGAGCGGGGCGAGCACATGAGGGGGCGAGCACATGAGGGGGCGAGCACATGAGCGGGGCGAGCACATGAGGGGGCGAGCACATGAGGGGGCGAGCACATGAGGGGGCGAGCACATGAGGGGGCGAGCACATGAGGGGGCGAGCACATGAGGGGGCGAGCACATGAGGGGGCGAGCACATGAGGGGGCGAGCACATGAGGGGGCGAGCACATGAGGGGGCGAGCACATGAGGGGGCGAGCACATGAGGGGGCGAGCACATGAGGGGGCGAGCACATGAGGGGGCGAGCACATGAGGGGGCGAGCACATGAGGGGGCGAGCACATGAGGGGCGAGCACATGAGGGGGCGAGCACATGAGGGGGCGAGCACATGAGGGGGCGAGCACATGAGGGGGCGAGCACATGAGGGGGCGAGCACATGAGGGGCGAGCACATGAGGGGGCGAGCACATGAGGGGGCGAGCACATGAGGGGGCGAGCACATGAGGGGGCGAGCACATGAGGGGGCGAGCACATGAGGGGGCGAGCACATGAGGGGGCGAGCACATGAGGGGGCGAGCACATGAGGGGGCGAGCACATGAGGGGGCGAGCACATGAGGGGGCGAGCACATGAGGGGGCGAGCACATGAGGGGGCGAGCACATGAGGGGGCGAGCACATGAGGGGGCGAGCACATGAGGGGCGAGCACATGAGGGGGCGAGCACATGAGGGGGCGAGCACATGAGGGGGCGAGCACATGAGGGGGCGAGCACATGAGGGGGCGAGCACATGAGGGGGCGAGCACATGAGGGGCGAGCACATGAGGGGGCGAGCACATGAGGGGGCGAGCACATGAGGGGGCGAGCACATGAGGGGGCGAGCACATGAGGCGGGCGAGCACATGAGGGGGCGAGCACATGAGGGGGCGAGCACATGAGCCGGGGCGAGCACATGAGGGGGCGAGCACATGAGGGGGGCGAGCACATGAGGGGGCGAGCACATGAGGGGGCGAGCACATGAGGGGGCGAGCACATGAGGGGGCGAGCACATGAGGGGGCGAGCACATGAGGGGGCGAGCACATGAGGGGGCGAGCACATGAGGGGGCGAGCACATGAGGGGGCGAGCACATGAGCGGGCGAGCACATGAGGGGGCGAGCACATGAGGGGGCGAGCACATGAGGGGGCGAGCACATGAGGGGGCGAGCACATGAGGGGGCGAGCACATGAGCGGGCGAGCACATGAGGGGGCGAGCACATGAGGGGGCGAGCACATGAGCGGGGCGAGCACATGAGGGGGCGAGCACATGAGGGGGCGAGCACATGAGGGGGCGAGCACATGAGGGGGCGAGCACATGAGGGGGCGAGCACATGAGGGGGCGAGCACATGAGGGGGCGAGCACATGAGGGGGCGAGCACATGAGGGGGCGAGCACATGAGGGGGCGAGCACATGAGGGGGCGAGCACATGAGGGGGCGAGCACATGAGGGGGCGAGCACATGAGGGGGCGAGCACATGAGGGGGCGAGCACATGAGGGGGCGAGCACATGAGGGGGCGAGCACATGAGGGGGCGAGCACATGAGGGGGCGAGCACATGAGGGGGCGAGCACATGAGGGGGCGAGCACATGAGGGGGCGAGCACATGAGGGGGCGAGCACATGAGGGGGCGAGCACATGAGGGGGCGAGCACATGAGGGGGCGAGCACATGAGGGGGCGAGCACATGAGGGGGCGAGCACATGAGGGGGCGAGCACATGAGGGGGCGAGCACATGAGGGGGCGAGCACATGAGGGGGCGAGCACATGAGGGGGCGAGCACATGAGGGGGCGAGCACATGAGGGGGCGAGCACATGAGGGGGCGAGCACATGAGGGGGCGAGCACATGAGGGGGCGAGCACATGAGGGGGCGAGCACATGAGGGGGCGAGCACATGAGGGGGCGAGCACATGAGGGGGCGAGCACATGAGGGGGCGAGCACATGAGGGGGCGAGCACATGAGGGGGCGAGCACATGAGGGGGCGAGCACATGAGGGGGCGAGCACATGAGGGGGCGAGCACATGAGGGGGCGAGCACATGAGGGGGCGAGCACATGAGGGGGCGAGCACATGAGGGGGCGAGCACATGAGGGGGCGAGCACATGAGGGGGCGAGCACATGAGGGGGCGAGCACATGAGGGGGCGAGCACATGAGTGCGCCATCACACGAATGGGCGAGCACATGAGGGGGCGAGCACATGAGGGGGCGAGCACATGAGGGGGCGAGCACATGAGCGGGGCGAGCACATGAGGGGGCGAGCACATGAGGGGGCGAGCACATGAGGGGGCGAGCACATGAGGGGGCGAGCACATGAGGGGGCGAGCACATGAGGGGGCGAGCACATGAGGGGGCGAGCACATGAGGGGGCGAGCACATGAGGGGGCGAGCACATGAGGGGGCGAGCACATGAGGGGGCGAGCACATGAGGGGGCGAGCACATGAGGGGGCGAGCACATGAGGGGGCGAGCACATGAGGGGGCGAGCACATGAGCGGGCGAGCACATGAGGGGGCGAGCACATGAGGGGGCGAGCACATGAGGGGGCGAGCACATGAGGGGGCGAGCACATGAGGGGGCGAGCACATGAGGGGGCGAGCACATGAGGGGGCGAGCACATGAGGGGGCGAGCACATGAGGGGGCGAGCACATGAGGGGGCGAGCACATGAGGGGGCGAGCACATGAGGCGGGCGAGCACATGAGGGGGCGAGCACATGAGGGGGCGAGCACATGAGGGGGCGAGCACATGAGGGGGCGAGCACATGAGGGGGCGAGCACATGAGGGGGCGAGCACATGAGGGGGCGAGCACATGAGGGGGCGAGCACATGAGGGGGCGAGCACATGAGGGGGCGAGCACATGAGGGGGCGAGCACATGAGGGGGCGAGCACATGAGGGGGCGAGCACATGAGGGGGCGAGCACATGAGGGGGCGAGCACATGAGCGGGCGAGCACATGAGGGGGCGAGCACATGAGGGGGCGAGCACATGAGGGGGCGAGCACATGAGGGGGCGAGCACATGAGGGGGCGAGCACATGAGGGGGCGAGCACATGAGGGGGCGAGCACATGAGGGGGCGAGCACATGAGGGGGCGAGCACATGAGGGGGCGAGCACATGAGGGGGCGAGCACATGAGGGGGCGAGCACATGAGGGGGCGAGCACATGAGGGGGCGAGCACATGAGGGGGCGAGCACATGAGGGGGCGAGCACATGAGGGGGCGAGCACATGAGGGGGCGAGCACATGAGGGGGCGAGCACATGAGGGGGCGAGCACATGAGGGGGCGAGCACATGAGGGGGCGAGCACATGAGGGGGCGAGCACATGAGGGGGCGAGCACATGAGGGGGCGAGCACATGAGGGGGCGAGCACATGAGGGGGCGAGCACATGAGGGGGCGAGCACATGAGGGGGCGAGCACATGAGGGGGCGAGCACATGAGGGGGCGAGCACATGAGGGGGCGAGCACATGAGGGGGCGAGCACATGAGGGGGCGAGCACATGAGGGGGCGAGCACATGAGGGGGCGAGCACATGAGGGGGCGAGCACATGAGGGGGCGAGCACATGAGGGGGCGAGCACATGAGGGGGCGAGCACATGAGGGGGCGAGCACATGAGGGGGCGAGCACATGAGGGGGCGAGCACATGAGGGGGCGAGCACATGAGGGGGCGAGCACATGAGGGGGCGAGCACATGAGGGGGCGAGCACATGAGGGGGCGAGCACATGAGGGGGCGAGCACATGAGGGGGCGAGCACATGAGGGGGCGAGCACATGAGGGGGCGAGCACATGAGGGGGCGAGCACATGAGGGGGCGAGCACATGAGGGGGCGAGCACATGAGGGGGCGAGCACATGAGGGGGCGAGCACATGAGGGGGCGAGCACATGAGGGGGCGAGCACATGAGGGGGCGAGCACATGAGGGGCGAGCACATGAGGGGGCGAGCACATGAGGGGGCGAGCACATGAGGGGGCGAGCACATGAGGGGGCGAGCACATGAGGGGGCGAGCACATGAGGGGGCGAGCACATGAGGGGCGAGCACATGAGGGGGCGAGCACATGAGGGGGCGAGCACATGAGCGGGCGAGCACATGAGGGGGCGAGCACATGAGGGGGCGAGCACATGAGGGGGCGAGCACATGAGGGGGCGAGCACATGAGGGGGCGAGCACATGAGGGGGCGAGCACATGAGGGGGCGAGCACATGAGGGGGCGAGCACATGAGCGGGCGAGCACATGAGGGGGCGAGCACATGAGGGGGCGAGCACATGAGCGGGCGAGCACATGAGGGGGCGAGCACATGAGGGGGCGAGCACATGAGGGGGCGAGCACATGAGGGGGCGAGCACATGAGGGGGCGAGCACATGAGGGGGCGAGCACATGAGGGGGCGAGCACATGAGGGGGCGAGCACATGAGGGGGCGAGCACATGAGGGGGCGAGCACATGAGGGGGCGAGCACATGAGGGGGCGAGCACATGAGGGGCGAGCACATGAGGGGGCGAGCACATGAGGGGGCGAGCACATGAGGGGGCGAGCACATGAGGGGGCGAGCACATGAGGGGGCGAGCACATGAGGGGGCGAGCACATGAGGGGGCGAGCACATGAGGGGGCGAGCACATGAGGGGGCGAGCACATGAGGGGGCGAGCACATGAGGGGGCGAGCACATGAGGGGGCGAGCACATGAGGGGGCGAGCACATGAGGGGGCGAGCACATGAGCGGGCGAGCACATGAGGGGGCGAGCACATGAGGGGGCGAGCACATGAGCGGGCGAGCACATGAGGGGGCGAGCACATGAGGGGGCGAGCACATGAGGGGGCGAGCACATGAGGGGGGCGAGCACATGAGCGGGCGAGCACATGAGGGGGCGAGCACATGAGGGGGCGAGCACATGAGGGGGCGAGCACATGAGGGGGCGAGCACATGAGGGGGCGAGCACATGAGGGGGCGAGCACATGAGGGGGCGAGCACATGAGGGGGCGAGCACATGAGGGGGCGAGCACATGAGGGGGCGAGCACATGAGGGGGCGAGCACATGAGGGGGCGAGCACATGAGGGGGCGAGCACATGAGGGGGCGAGCACATGAGGGGGCGAGCACATGAGGGGGCGAGCACATGAGGGGGCGAGCACATGAGGGGGCGAGCACATGAGGGGGCGAGCACATGAGGGGGCGAGCACATGAGGGGGCGAGCACATGAGCGGGCGAGCACATGAGGGGGCGAGCACATGAGGGGGCGAGCACATGAGGGGGCGAGCACATGAGGGGGCGAGCACATGAGGGGGCGAGCACATGAGGGGCGAGCACATGAGGGGGCGAGCACATGAGGGGGCGAGCACATGAGGGGGCGAGCACATGAGGGGGCGAGCACATGAGGGGGCGAGCACATGAGGGGGCGAGCACATGAGGGGGCGAGCACATGAGGGGGCGAGCACATGAGGGGGCGAGCACATGAGCGGGCGAGCACATGAGGGGGCGAGCACATGAGGGGGCGAGCACATGAGGGGGCGAGCACATGAGGGGCGAGCACATGAGGGGGCGAGCACATGAGGGGGCGAGCACATGAGGGGGCGAGCACATGAGGGGGCGAGCACATGAGGGGGCGAGCACATGAGGGGGCGAGCACATGAGGGGGCGAGCACATGAGGGGGCGAGCACATGAGGGGGCGAGCACATGAGGGGGCGAGCACATGAGGGGGCGAGCACATGAGGGGGCGAGCACATGAGGGGGCGAGCACATGAGGGGGCGAGCACATGAGGGGGCGAGCACATGAGCGGGCGAGCACATGAGGGGGCGAGCACATGAGGGGGCGAGCACATGAGGGGGCGAGCACATGAGGGGGCGAGCACATGAGGGGGCGAGCACATGAGGGGGCGAGCACATGAGGGGGCGAGCACATGAGGGGGCGAGCACATGAGGGGGCGAGCACATGAGGGGGCGAGCACATGAGGGGGCGAGCACATGAGGGGCGAGCACATGAGGGGGCGAGCACATGAGGGGGCGAGCACATGAGGGGGCGAGCACATGAGGGGGCGAGCACATGAGGGGGCGAGCACATGAGGGGGCGAGCACATGAGGGGGCGAGCACATGAGGGGGCGAGCACATGAGGGGGCGAGCACATGAGGGGGCGAGCACATGAGGGGGCGAGCACATGAGGGGGCGAGCACATGAGGGGGCGAGCACATGAGGGGGCGAGCACATGAGGGGGCGAGCACATGAGGGGGCGAGCACATGAGGGGGCGAGCACATGAGGGGGCGAGCACATGAGGGGGCGAGCACATGAGGGGGCGAGCACATGAGGGGCGAGCACATGAGGGGGCGAGCACATGAGGGGGCGAGCACATGAGGGGGCGAGCACATGAGGGGGCGAGCACATGAGGGGGCGAACGCAGGGGGGGTCGAGCACATGAGGGGGCGAGCACATGAGGGGGCGAGCACATGAGGGGGCGAGCACATGAGGGGCGAGCACATGAGGGGGCGAGCACATGAGGGGGCGAGCACATGAGGGGGCGAGCACATGAGGGGGCGAGCACATGAGGGGGCGAGCACATGAGGGGGGCTGAGCACATGAGGGGGCGAGCACATGAGGGGGCGAGCACATGAGGGGGCGAGCACATGAGGGGCAGAGCACATGAGGGGGCGAGCACATGAGGGGGCGAGCACATGAGGGGGCGAGCACATGAGGGGGCGAGCACATGAGGGGGCGAGCACATGAGGGGGCGAGCACATGAGGGGGCGAGCACATGAGGGGGCGAGCACATGAGGGGGCGAGCACATGAGGGGGCGAGCACATGAGGGGGCGAGCACATGAGGGGGCGAGCACATGAGGGGGCGAGCACATGAGGGGGCGAGCACATGAGGGGGCGAGCACATGAGGGGGCGAGCACATGAGGGGGCGAGCACATGAGGGGGCGAGCACATGAGGGGGCGAGCACATGAGGGGGCGAGCACATGAGGGGGCGAGCACATGAGGGGGCGAGCACATGAGGGGGCGAGCACATGAGGGGGCGAGCACATGAGCGGGCGAGCACATGAGGGGGCGAGCACATGAGGGGGCGAGCACATGAGCGGGCGAGCACATGAGGGGGCGAGCACATGAGGGGGCGAGCACATGAGGGGGCGAGCACATGAGGGGGCGAGCACATGAGGGGGCGAGCACATGAGGGGGCGAGCACATGAGGGGGCGAGCACATGAGGGGCGAGCACATGAGGGGGCGAGCACATGAGGGGGCGAGCACATGAGGGGGCGAGCACATGAGGGGGCGAGCACATGAGGGGGCGAGCACATGAGGGGGCGAGCACATGAGGGGGCGAGCACATGAGGGGGCGAGCACATGAGGGGGCGAGCACATGAGCGGGCGAGCACATGAGGGGGCGAGCACATGAGGGGGCGAGCACATGAGCGGGCGAGCACATGAGGGGGCGAGCACATGAGCGGGCACGAGAAGGGGCGAGCACATGAGGGGGCGAGCACATGAGGGGGCGAGCACATGAGGGGGCGAGCACATGAGGGGGCGAGCACATGAGGGGGCGAGCACATGAGGGGGCGAGCACATGAGGGGGCGAGCACATGAGGGGGCGAGCACATGAGCGGGCGAGCACATGAGGGGGCGAGCACATGAGGGGGCGAGCACATGAGGGGGCGAGCACATGAGGGGGCGAGCACATGAGGGGGCGAGCACATGAGGGGGCGAGCACATGAGGGGGCGAGCACATGAGGGGGCGAGCACATGAGGGGGCGAGCACATGAGGGGGCGAGCACATGAGCGGGCGAGCACATGAGGGGGCGAGCACATGAGGGGGCGAGCACATGAGGGGGCGAGCACATGAGGGGGCGAGCACATGAGGGGGCGAGCACATGAGGGGCGAGCACATGAGGGGGCGAGCACATGAGGGGGCGAGCACATGAGGGGGCGTTCACGAGACGGCGCGAGCACATGAGGGGGCGAGCACATGAGGGGGCGAGCACATGAGGGGGCGAGCACATGAGGGGGCGAGCACATGAGGGGGCGAGCACATGAGGGGGCGAGCACATGAGGGGCGAGCGAGCACATGAGGGGGCGAGCACATGAGCGGGCGAGCACATGAGGGGGCGAGCACATGAGGGGGCGAGCACATGAGGGGGCGAGCACATGAGGGGGCGAGCACATGAGGGGGCGAGCACATGAGGGGGCGAGCACATGAGCGGGCGAGCACATGAGGGGGCGAGCACATGAGGGGGCGAGCACATGAGCGGGCGAGCACATGAGGGGGCGAGCACATGAGGGGGCGAGCACATGAGGGGGCGAGCACATGAGGGGGGAGGGAATCGCTGTGAAACGAGGGTGCTCCTCGCAGCCGCACTGCTTCGCCCTGCCATCTCTCCACCTGCCCTCCCACCTGCCCTACTCCCAAGCCTCATGAGCGGTGCGGCGTCTCTGCACACGTTGCTGCCTTCTCAGCTTTTTCCTTCCTTCTTCTCCTCCCCATCTCTCCCCCTCCCCCGGCCTCTCCTGTACCCATTTCCCCTACTCTCCTCCACGTGTACCACCCAGGGTGTGCTACGGGACCTCAGCAAGGGCCCGCCTGCCATCCCCGTGCTCTCCCAAATGCCATCCGCGCCATCAGGGATGCAGCCTGGAGCAGCGGGGGCGGCAGGGGGCGCAGCAGGCGGTGCAATGGCCGCGATGCATGGCATGGCAGCGGGCATGGGGGCTGGAGTGGGGGCTGGTGTTGAGGCGGAGGCTGAGGCAGGTGGGGGGGCAGGGTTGCCACATCAAGTGCAGCAGCAGGAAGAGCAGCAGGAGCAGGTTGAGCAGGCAGCACAGCAGCAGCCGCACTTGTTGCAACAGGTGGGTGAAACCCCTCTTCACTCTCTGCCTGCTTAAACAGATGCTGGAAGTACTTCATAGAAAGGCAGTGGAGAAAGCCCAAGCTTGCATCTCTGCACCCTAAGGCGTTGTGGGAGCTCGGTTGTGGCAACTTTGTTCTCGCACGTTTTATGCTCTCCCCTTCCCCGGCCCCGTTGACTTGTTGCTTACTCGGCGCATTCCAAGTGAATGCTCCGCTCTGCTGCGAGCATAAGGTGAAAACGATGGTGGCACATAGGTTCGCACAGTGGTCAAGTGTTGTGCCACGTGTGCCACGTATCCCACATGTGCCTTGCACCCCACATGTGCCTTGCACCCCACATGTGCCTTGCACCCCACATGTGCCTTGCACCCCAGCCCGCCCGCCTGCCCGCTCACCGTCACCCTCTCGTGTGTGCCACTGCCCCTCCCCCCGCCCAGGGCTCTGCGAGTGCCGCTGCTGTGGCAGCAGACTCCACGGAAGTGGGGTTCCCCGCCCAGCCCGCCCGCCTGCCCCCGCACCACCTGCAGCACCTGCACCACCTGGGCTTGGGCGCTCAGCACGCGGGGGAGGGGGTGGCGCAGGAGCAGCAGCAGGAGGAGCAGGAGGAGCAGGATGGCAAGGGCCAGGAGCAGGAGCAGGTGACACATGAGCTGCAGTTGTCTGAAAGGGAGCAGCAAGATGGGGATGAGGAGGGCGGGGTGGGAGGGGAGGGGCAGATTGGGGTGAAGAGGAGGCGAGAGGAGCTAGGGGAGGGAGCGGATGACACTGATGGGGAGGAGGGAGGGGTGGGGGGGCGCACTGGGGGCGGTGGGGTGGAGGGCGGGGCGAGAGGGGGTGAGGAAGGGGGAGGGGGGGAGGGGGAGGGTGGAATGGAGGAGAGTGCGTTTGGCATGGGAGGGACCGAGAGGGGCCGTGGGGATGGGCGGGGAGGGGCGGGAGAGTGGGTCAGGGAAGGGGAGGGGGAGGAGGGGGAGGACGCAGCGGATAGAAGGGAAACGAGGTTGTCAGGAGAAGCAGAGGAGGATGAGGAGGTGGAGGAGGGGCGGCAGCGGAGGGCAGGAGGCGAAGGGGTGGAGGAAGGGGAGAGAAGCGAGGGAGAGGGAAAGGTGGATAGTCCGAGCTAAGGCAGGGGGTTGTGGGGCAAGCAGGGAGGAGAGGAGAGCGCTCACACGCATGCGTGCAGCTGTTGGCGTGGTGCTCGCACGCTTGCCATTCCCAGCACGCTTGCCATTCCCAGCACGCTTGCCATTCCCAGCACGCTTGCCATTCCCAGCACGCTTGCCATTCCCAGCACGCTTACCATTCCCAGCACGCTTGCCATTCCCAGCACGCTTGCCATTCCCAGCACGCTTGCCATTCCCAGCCATTGAGCGAATCAAGCAGCAGTTTATCACCACATTGCCTTGCCTCCCTCCCTGGACTGCTTACGGCTGGCTGGCTGGTCATTTCTTTTTTTCCCCGAGTTCACTCGCTCCCACTTGCATGGAGCGAGTCAGTGCCTTGACTTGGAGGGGAAAATGCCTGACTGCAAGGGTGCCCATTGCTCAAGGCACGTGTTGAGTTCGATTGGAAAGTGATTGGTGCACTGGTTTGTTTGTTTGCATATCTGTGGGGCCCCTTGAGGACAGCAACAAAACAACATTAAATAGTGTGATAGGCGTGTTGTCCTGGGCGACCCCTGTGACCTGTCACAGTGCCTCTTCTTTATGGCTACAATATCCAGCCTGCTCACACGTTTTCACAAATTTTGAAGTCTAACCCTGTACTGTACCATATATTATGCATTGTGCAAGTGGCAAGTCCTTCGGGTTTTTCAACCCCAAACCTGCACCCAGCCATCTCGCAACTCCGCGACTTCGACGTAGCTAGCGTTGCTATATTACCGTAGTACTTGGCTTCATTATTCTCTCAGTTGTAGTATTTTGTTCCGCTTTATTGAATTCTGTGCACTCTTTCATTACAACTCATAACAACTGTGCTGACTGAAATTGTACCGTACCAGGCCTGAAGCTAAGAGGGCCGATTTTCTCACTTCTCTTTGTACCGTAGCATCGAGACTCACAATCACATAACTAATCAACAACGCTCGAGTTTTACTATACGTTAATACATGTCGTGTTAGTGGACAATCGACACAAGCAAGTTATTGTTGCAGTAGAATTGAGAAAGCTTGCTTTCTTATTCTTATCAATTTGCATCGTTCTCATTACAAATGGCTTATTACAACATTTGCATCAACGTTGAACACAAGCTAGTGCAATCGAATAACACTAGCTAAGATGTACCCTATCCAAGTGGCATTAGCAAGGCGGTTTACTCTGGGGTGGGTGGTTGGGAATGTTGAGTGAGCCGTTTGAAAATCGAGAAGCGTGGGTGGAGGGAAATGAACTCCAACCCACGGTTTTTGTAGTTGGAGAAGGGCGTTTAGCGCGCTTCGACGATGCCAATTGTGCAGTACAAGCAGCTTCGCTTTCACAATACACAATTTTAAAAAACACAATGTGTGTTTAAGAATTATAATATTGAGAAAGCTTGCTTTCTTATTCTTATCAATTGGCATCGTTTGTCAGAATGAGGAATGGTGTTTCCATTGATGTTGGTTGGGGTACATATGACAAACCCTAACTTCTGTACCCCCTAAGACAAACCTCACTACAGGCTACAACATTTGACACACCCCCATAGCCTAAGTGAGGGGTGTCTAGCAAAATCAAAAAGATTACGGTCACAAGACCAGTCCAAAAGAAAACAAAGCTCAGGGTGGATCACAACGTCACCACACACTCTGAGCACAAGCAACAGTGGCCACAAAGCCAGTCCAAGAGATCACAAGTATATATAGCAAGTGTACAGACGAAGCAAGCAATAAACTCAAGTCTACACATGACTAGAACCTGTTTCAGCAAGGCCTAACTGCACACAACACCTCTGGTGGTCACAAGGCGGAAGCGCCTTGGTGAAGATGTCTGCAGTGTTGGCCTCGGACTCCACGTCTCTGCAACTCTCGCAGAAGAAAGTACCTGACGTGAATGTGCTTCACTCTGCTCTCCAGTCGCGGCTCACGACAGAGGAGGATCGACGCCTTGTTGTCAGTAAACAAGGTCGGTGCAGAGCTCGGCCGCTCACCAAGGTCGGCGAGCAAGAAGGTCAACCACCGCAACTCCTGTGCCGCCATGGCACCAGCGTAAATCTCAGCCTCAGCTGTAGAGGTCGAGACAGAAGAGGAGCGCGTGGAACGCCAGGAAACAGCTCCAGAACCCAGACTGAAACAGTACCCCTGAGTAGACCTGTGAGTCTCAGCGTCGTCAGCGTAAGAGGAGTCACAGTGACCAGTGAGTACGACAGACTGCTGCCCTCCAAGAACTAGCCCCACGCCTGATGTAGTCGCTAGGTACTTCGCCACCCTCACAGCTGCCGTCCAGTGAACAGGATGGTGTCTCCCTGGCGCAACAAAGCGCGCAAGGATGCTGAGAGGGAAGGCGAGGTCCGGGCGAGTACAAGTCATCAGGTACATGAGGCAACCCACAAGCTCTGCGTAGGGACCACTAGGCTCAAACGGCTCGTCAGGAAAGGGACCAGTGAGTCTGTGGTCAACAGCGAGAGGTGTGCGCTGTACGGTGGAGTGCTGAAGCCCGAACCGCTGAAGGACCTGCTGCACCATGTGTGACTGTGAGAGTGTAATGGTGCGAGCGGCTCTGTCCCTGGTGATCTGCAGGCCAAGGTAGTGGCGCAGCTCACCAAGATCAGTGCACGTGTGTCTCTTCTGCAGTTCGGACTTCACGTCTGCCAAAGCAACCCTGTTCGGAGTGGCGAAAACGAGGTCGTCGACGTAGACCAGAACAAAGAACGGTGTGGAGCCACGACGAACGAACAGCGACGGGTCGGCAGAAGACGGCTGGAACCCAAGGTCAGAGAGGGTAGAACGCAGAGTGTCGTGCCACTCGCGAGGGGCCTGGCGAAGACCGTAAACAGGTCGCCTCAGCCTCCACTGGGTCCCAGGAGGGAAAGTGCCAGTGAAGGCCGAGGGACGACGCAACCAGACCTCCTCGTGTAGGCTGCCCTGAAGGAAAGCAGTGGAGAAGTCGAGAGAGTGTAACTCGTAGTCTCTCTGTGCTGCTACGTGTAGTAACACCCGAAGAGTGGTCATCTTCGGGGTAGGTGCGAAGGTCTGAAAGAAGTCAACTCCCTCGCGCTGACTGAAACCTCTAGCCACGTAGCGCGCCTTGAAGACCGGGGGAGATCCCGGTGGCCGCTTCACCCTGTAGATCCACATGCCGTCGACTACGTTCGCCCCAAGGGGGGGAACCTCATCGACGTAGGTGCCTGTGGATCTGTAGGAGGCCATCTCTGCGTCCATGGCAGCTCTCCACTGAGAGGCCCAAGGCCCTGACACTGCCTCAGCGTAAGTGCGAGGAGTCGGAATGTCAAGGGCGTCGGGGTCACCCTCAGGGGCGAGGAGCATGGCACAGAGATGAGGGGAAGCGGCCGCCAGGAACTCTAGCTCAAACTGCCTGTCCTCTAGGGCGTCACAGCCAAGGGCAGACACACCCCCGACGGCCAGAGGACTGGTAGGAGGAGCAGCCACAAGCGTGGTGGCGTAGTCAAGGCGGCGGGTAGCGGCAAAGTCAGTAACCGCGGCAGTAAGAGCAGACACAGAGGACACAGAGGCACGAGGGTGAGTAACAAGAGAGGCGAGAACACGAGAGAGAACAGGACGGTACGTGCGGTAGTAGTCAGTGACAGGAGCAGGGAGCGACACGGTGAGGGCCGACTCAGGAGGAGACGGAAGCACAGACTGAGACGGACGAGGTGGACTGGAACAAAGTAAGGCAGTACGAAGGTCAGTGAAGGGAACAGGAGACGAAGGACGAGCACGAGGGGAGCGACGAGTAGCCCAAGAACGAGACGGAGGAGGAGAGGACAAAGGCGGAGAACTAGAGAAAACAGCGGGGGAGGAGTCAGGCGGAGGAAACGTGGGACCGTAGACAGGAGGAGAGGCGGAGGAGGGAGGAGAAGGGGAGGGGAGACCAAGGGCCCGAAGACCCGAGACAGGAGGAGGAAGTGGCTGCTGCTGCTGCTGCTGCGACTGCTGCTGCTGCGGACGCGGCTGCTGCTGGGACTGCTGCTCCTGCGGGTCCAGCTGCTGCTGCTGCTCCGCCAGCCGCTGTAACTCCCTCTCCTCTCTCTCCAACTCCAGCTGCTCGTCACGCGCACGGCGAACACGAGCCTGGTGCCTAGTCGGGTAGGGGTGGGGGGGCGGAGTAGTGTCCGAAGCAGCGGCAGCTCCAGAGTCAACCCCCGAAGAACCAGGCGCACCACCCCCAGAGGCAGCACTAACACCAGCTCCAGACCCAGGCGCACCAGAACCCGAAGCAGGCGCACCCTCACCCCCAGAGGGAGCACCCCCAGAGTCCGCGCGGCCAGCACCGGCTCCCGGACGACAAGAGTCCTCTGCACCCACCGGGTCAGCTCCAACTCCAGAACCAGAAACTCCAGCTCCAACTCCAGCACCCCCAGAACCAGAAACTCCAGTGCCTACTCCAGCTCCACCTCCAGCTCCAACACCAGCTCCAACTCCAGCACCCCCAGTACCAGAAACCGGTACAGGAACAGGCGCAGCACCAACCTCTCGAGAGCTAGCACCAGCGGCACGCTGCGAGGAGGACTGTGGGGAGGGAGGCTGTACCGGAGGGGCTACCGAAGGAGGAGGGGTAGCCTGGGACACACCTGACGGGGCTGGGCCAGGGGGGGGAGGCTGTACCGGGGGAGCAGGAGGGGGAGCGGCAGTCAGGAAGAGGGGGGGAGGAGGAACCGGGAGACCTCGACTGGGGTACCTGACGTAGTACGGATTGGACTCCTCGAAACGGACGTCACGGGAGTCAAAGAACCGGTGAGAGGGAGGGTGGTAAAAGGTGAAGTCAGAGGAGTCCTCAGGGAAACCAAGGAAGACACAGGGGACGGCACGAGGCGAGAGCTTGTCCGCGGAGGTGTCGCGGACAAGAGCCAAGCACCCCCAGACACGAAACCGCGACGCAACACCAGGGGACCCTGTCCAAAGACTGGTCGGTGAAACCTCTGGTCGAGAGACACGTGGCCAGAGGTTCAGCTGGTGCGCGGCGTACCT